ACTACTTCCTATTACCCAACCTATGTGTTTTGTAAAGTGATCGAGGTTAGTGAAAGTCGGTTTAGTTGTGTTAGACGAACCTCATTTCCCTGAAACGGGGCTGAAAGCCGCTTGGACAGGTCATCTGTTTTAACCACAGTTCAGCTGTAGTACAAGACATTCCTTGGTGACCACCTGATACACGTAATTCTGATAATCTCGGAGCTAAGACCTTTTTGAAATTATTAGTTGCATCACAGGTTGGACAAAGTACTTGTACAGGTTGCAGCAAATGTATATCACTCTCTCTTGTACACTTCGTTGATTAATTAAACAATTACGAGAGGTTACGTACTTCTCTACAATTTTAACCAATTTGTAATGGTCATACTTTACCTTGTAACATGGCATATAGTAACCAAGAAATATCTGTGTTCTTTAACTGTTTTTATCATAGCTTTCCTTTTTGGTATATTTGATACCAATTAAACAGAAGAACCTTCACTGTATGTATGTTCATTGTCACGGCTGACACTATATGTTTCACAATAGGATTATATCCAGGATCCTGATAATTTATAAATGAGCAAGTTCTTACTTGTTAGCAAGAAAGTCCATCTGTGTTTCTACGTTGATATTGTAGAGTAAAGCTATACTCCTGCAACATTATGATTCAATGTGCAATTATATATTTTGGTTTCCTGAAACTCGTCCAATTTTAACCCAACATGCTGTACTTGACCAGTACATTTTAAGCCATACAAGTAATGGCAAAAGTACTTGATGAATATCTTGATTGCAAGCAGTTGTTTTCTTCCATCATGGTAAAGTAACAGTGTTCAGTAGGCCTTAGAATTTGATTCATGTATACTATAACATAGTTCGTGCCAGTGCGTACTCGCAACATCGTTGCTCCAACTTCACCGTCGCCCATGTCCAAGATGAATGGAACTTCTCACCTTGGATAAGCTGATACCAGAGAATTAACAACGGGACTTGCTAGTGCCTGAAATTACTTTACATTCCTCAGTCAATCTAAAATAGAATTCAACCTTAATTAATGCTGAAAGTCATGCTGCTATTGTTGAAAAATTGGCCACAAAGCATCTGCAATATGGTGCAAAGCCGGGGAAAGTTTCAGACTTCCTTCTTGTTTGTAGGTTTGGACAAATTTACCACTTCACCCTTTTAGCATTATTTATAAACACTCCATCCTTACTCAGTCTATATGTGTCTGCATAGAGAACATTTATTTGGCTTAAGTTTTAGACCTACTTGTTGCAAATATTCCAGGTTTACAACTGCGACCTCAAATGTGCAACCAAGTAATGGCAACGTATGTTAGACACAATAACGAATGCAATACTAGGTTTATCAGCCACTTCAATACACATTACAGAGGCTGAATGGTATAGAGCAAAACTCATACGAGTACAAACCTTCCAGAGTCTTAAAAAAGTTTTGGCTCTGCTTACCGCATCTAGATCAACTTCTCATTAGTCAGAAGTGAAATATATTGTACTAAACTAATGGAATCCTTCCAATGTATTGAAACATTCGTCCATACACAGCAATAGAAACACGTCAACAACCATCATCATATTCACCCATCCAAAACCTCTTGCATCTTCTTTCTCATCTCAAAATTAATACTGATTGACACATCATGCACTCTCAGGTTTGAATAATTCAACTTTTCAGTATCTGATCTATCTCAGCATTGGCTACATTCCTGGCGCTTCGAGGAAGCTTGAATGGGCCTTGCATGCTACTGGTATCTATATAATGCTGGGTAATATTCGCACATTCCAACTAACCATTGGTTTTGACAGATACCTTGGTGAATTCTGTCAGAAACTTACTAAGATTGCTGACCTGGTTTTCAATCAACTTGTATTTGCTTATTGTTTTAATGTGGCTGAAGTAGCACTAGTTATAGCATTAGTTTTTTACACAGAACCAATAATTGTTCCAGCCAGTATCTACTGTTTATTTGCCACAGTTAAATACCGTAATTGGAACATATCTTGCTCTTAGAGAGACAACCGAATTGGCACAACTTTCTTTGTGTAATGAAAAATACTAATACACAGCTACTATCTCTTACCATAAGTCTTAGACATTTAGTAATCGGTCAAATTTCTCCATACACTGTAAGCCGACCACCATTCTGAGCAAACTGTTTTTACTGGCTAAAATTGAGGTTTAACTAGTAGTGATTGATACGTCAAAAGATCATGTAGAATATCTGCATCCGTGTCATCTAAAAATTCTACTTCAGGTCCATGTATTTTAAGAGGCACATATCTAGCCATACTTTGGTATTTATATCACTCAACCAACCACACAAAAAAGAAACAGATGTCTATTATCCCACATCATTGGCAATACCCAGTCTGTAGCTTACAAGTTTAAATTATCAGATGTAACAATTATTTGTTATACTTAGCATATGTGCATAATTCTGTAAAGCTGGAAAGAATGGACATCAATGATACTAATTATGAAATCATCAGTTATAACAGGTATCTTTTCTCCATGGATCAGGACATGTTTCTATCCACATTATTGGCACAACCAAAATGACAGGTTTTAGATATCCCTGCCATTCAGACTGAACTAAGTTACCACCCAGCATCTGTGGGTGTGGTGCAATCGTTTGTAACCTCTCATAGAATAAGATCAGAATATTTAAAGGCTATCTCTGGCAAGGCCACTGCAGCCAACATTGCCAGGTTCATTCTGGCAATTCCTTTGAAGTTAGCATTTCATACCTTGTTGAGATAGATAGCTTCTGTCAGACATATTATCATAAAGGCCCTTAGAGTTCCCTTCACAACTTATTAACCAAAGGTCATCTTGGTTTACCACTGCCATGCTATGGTACACATTGCAGTGTAAATGTTGCAGCTTATTAGCATACACAGTTTTTATAGAATAGACATGTTCTGAATTCTACCAAATATATGACTATATTCTACTGGGTCAAATTGGTGATGCAACTCCACAACAGTGGCTACATAACTCAATGTACAGTTCACCCCAGATTTCACAGCCAGCAATTTTAACGCACTATTTTTGAGCTCGATTAATCTGCTTGAGAAAACTGACGTTATTAATGGTTCCTGATAGATAAAACTACAATCCACTGATCTAGATGGGTATAGGATTTGGTTTCATAATACATGTTGAAGTGTAGGGGAGCACTCAACATTCAACAGAGGACTTTTCCAAGTTAATTGGGGTTCTCTGATCCGTTCATGTCTTCTCCTCCTCCTCTCTACTATAATTCTTAAAAATTATTGTTAGTCTTATCGTGATGTAGTATCACACAAACAACTGATCTACAGACCATGCTTCATCAGCATAAGGAATTATGTAGCATAATAATTGATACGTTAATTTATATTTAGTTTTTCTCAACCCACGATATTTTAGGTTGAATGAGTCTTTAATATTTCAGTTATACACCACTAATGATTATGTTCATCTATCCAATTTAGAGATGCATACTTTTAACAAATCACAATAATAAAATTCAACTTCTAATGACATGAAACATGTCATTAGCACACTTATCAGATTTGACATTTTAATGCAAAACTACAATAATTTAAATAATGAATTTTCATTGACACTAGGGGATGTTAATTTTGAAGTTCCTTTAAAAAATAACTTATCCAAGTACCTAGAAGATCAAATAGATTTAATATCTGATGCTTGTGTGTAAACTTAAAGATGTTTATAACAGTCTAATAAGACCGTAAAAATTTTTCATATGTATCACAAGAATAATGTAAGGTCATGCAAGTTGAACTATAATTTCAGAAAAAAAAAGTTTTTTCTTTGTCAAATTAAACAGGAAAGTTAATTTTTTATTACAGTAGGCCCATAGTATAACTTTTGTACAAAAATTTAAATTCATACAAGTACTTGCCCTAGTCATACCTACAAGTGATTGAAATGTCATCAAATAACCTTTAATGTTAATATTCATTAATATAAAAATAATGAATTTTACAATATGATTTAATATTATGAATCGAAATAAAGAAATGAATTTGGAGAACTGAGCAGTTAGGCATGTTTATGTACATAAATTGATAGTAATGACCAGAAAAAGTGGGAACAACTACTAAACTTGTCTTTCATGTGATAGATCAAAAGTATCACAAGTTTTAGGGTCTTGTTCCACTGAGACATCTTTATTTATGATTTCTCCTTGTACTAAAAGTTTCAGTTGTCTATCAGTTGTAAAATGTGCATATTTTCCTTGTTTAAGTAAGCATATTTAAGTGGTAAGGATTTCAATCACTAAAGTGTACTTACCATCAAGTATTCCAATCCGTTTATAACCTTAGTTTTATTTATTAAGTGTTTTAATTTTACAAGTAGCTTAAATTTATTAAATTTTACAATGTATACCAAATAAGTTACTGATTGCATTTGACCAGAAGTTAACTATAATGTTTTCAAATGTTATAGGTACAGGTATATTCCACCATAAAACTTATCTTCATTCTCTATTACGATGCGTAAAAAAATAATTTATACCTACAAAGTTCTTTACTTACCTGAATGGCAAAAAAGAAAAAACATTTGTTAAACCAATACAACTGTTACACAGACACTAAACAATATTTTACATTGTACAGACATTGTGGTAGGTTGCATGATAAACAAATCAGTACAGAGGCTAATCTTACTTTTATTCAGTATCACGACTGTAGAATATCCAAATAAAATATTTGTATTAAAATGTGACAAGTATTAGTTGTGTTTAAAACTTTCAACAGCTCTAAATCAGATCGTACCAGTGAAAACAAATGCTGATCCTTCTCTCAAAAGTACAAAATATTGTACAAGAAAGCTTGAATGTTCTATATATATATAACTGTGCAAAATTAACAATTTGGGTAATACTGTTATTTGGGGTAAACACGTTGCTGTCAAGAAATTATATATTTTGAGTGAATTAAAATTATTTCAAAGCACAAGCTATAGGGAGGATTTATAAATAGTTTAAGTATGTCAAGTTTTATATTTCATGAAATGTGGTAATTTACTCATCTTTATATACAAATACAATATTCCAACAAAATCTAATTCAGATATTTGAAGACATTACCATTCGGCTTTGATATTTTGCTAATAAGTTTCCTTCTTCCTTGAAAACTCTTAGCTACAATTGCACAAAACTGATTTTTATGACAATATATATATATAAAAATAATTATAAGATCATGAATGCAAATAACCTTTAAAAAAACCCAAAGAAAAAAAAAGAGCAAAATAATAACATACAGGAATTTATTTACAAGTATGCAATGTAGTAATGAGAATGACTTTTATATACTCACAAGAATATGGACGATTTTAATATTTCAAACACTTTGTTTTCCTTGTAGTGGTGAACTATTGAAGCTTCTGAATATTAACTAATGTAATATAACTGAAAAATTATCTTTGGACACTAAACACCACATTTACAACTTTATCTTTATGTCAATTGTTCTGTCAAGAGCAAAAAAACAGTTTTAATACTCTGCTAAATTAATTTATTTGAAGTTATTTTTTATCTTATTACATTACTAAAAAATGGTTTGTTAGCAAAACCAATATTTCTCAACATAGAAAAATAAAATGAAAAGGTTCACTTTTTTTACTTTTCTTTTTCAAATTTAAATCGGTTAAACAATCATCTTTTTTCTTTCGTCAACAATGTCTTTTGAAGTAAAATTATAAATGAAATTAGAAGTATCAACAGACTTATTAAAATTTATCTTAAAACATGTAACATTTGTTTTGAAATGTTGTGTGACCACTGCATACATACTAGACTGTCTTAATTTAATTCTCATCTAATAAGATAATAGTTTTAAAATAAAATACAGAGAAAATCACATTGTAGGACTTTTTATATCTTGATCACACTAGAGGCTTTTCTCATTTACAATTATGAAATACTAACTAGAATTACGATAAAAATGCATTGTTCACATACACAACATAAAAACTTTAAAACCACAATTCAATCACAGTAGATGATTAACTAGTATAAAACACTTTTCACAGAAAATGCTAACTCTTCACTCAATTTGCTTCTTCATACATCATCTTCAATATTCACAACACATCATGGAAGCATATGACAAGAGCTCATGTTTGCAGAGGAGGTATCTTGGCAACTTCAAAAAATACTCTGCATAAAATTAAAATATGAGCACATTTAAGCTACATATAAAATTATCAACTGATGAAATTAAAACAATATAATTCTCCACAATTTAGCATTAAAATTATTGTTTTGCAAAAACATACAATATGTTGAAACAAAAGTATTACGATATCACTGAAACCAACTGTATGCAATATTACATCTGTCAGTGAAATCACTAACAGCCATTGTATTAAACAGTTTAAAATGACTTTTTAAATTGTTTACAATTTGCCAGCCTAATTAGCTAATAACAGAGGAGAAATAACATAATATAGTTGAAATGTTATAAATCACTCTTTGAAACATAAAAAATACTTCCAAGAAGATTATTTAGTCCTAAGAGTATTTTAAAATGGCCCCACCTTCTAAACTAATGGATGTAATGTATTGCTTTGCCAATAGTTAAATGTGTGAAAGAGCACTGATTTAAATACTTCACAACCAGTGTCCAAAAAGGAGAACCAAAGTAACCTTACATATATATATATATTTTTTTTTAATTTCAGAATTATATTTTAAAAACCAGCATTTACAGGCTTGGCATTAAAAATAGGTAATACCAGCAGCTGCTTGTGGTTTCAATCTGAGTACGGACACTGTTGTAATTTCCTCCTAAGCCATACATTGATATTAGCAGTATCTTGATATTGAGGCAATATAAAAAAATTAATCTGTGTTACTGACAAATTAAATGCTTGTATCGCTTTGTTACTGAAAATTCGGTTTGTGATATTAAAATTGGGATTTGCAGATGGTTAAATTTAAACTTAGTATAGTATTGTATCACGATGATAAAATTTTCATTGCTTAATACTGAATTATCCAATCAGTATCAGCACTGTATGAGAGTGGCCTCAAATGTTAATATCTAGGAAGTGCATTCCAATCATGTTCATCAGGTTTTGGTGAATCGTGATAAATCACAGAGAAAGATGATTTTTTCCCCCAAAAAAGTGTTTGTCACATTGTACAATGTTTCGAAATTGCTGAAAAAAGTAGTCTCAATGAAAGCATAAGCACACAGAATCACCAAAAAAGTCAAGTACATTTACAAAAGGTCCAGGAACTTGAGCACTCTCAAAAAACATGACTTTCTCCTTCAAGACTGAAAAAGCTAATGATTAAGAAGTTGTGGGATAATAAACATAAAAAAGTACACATCAGGGAAGTGTTTTTCAAGGTGGCATTGCCACTTATGTTGCATAATGTCTCATTCTTCAACTGGGATTGGTCAGCTTTCATGGCCACCTTGACAAACACTTCCTACTCATATGACTTTTTAACCTTTACTCTTGAAGAACCAATTATTCAAAAGTGTTAGTTTCTTGGTCTTTAGAAATCTACTTTAAAAAGTAAAGTTTGTCATTAAGTAATCAATTCAGATAAGAGTTGATGCAATAGTGTGTGTGGTAGTGGAAATTTCATAGTTTTATTTATCTGCAAGAATAACTAGTAAATGTTTCTGGAACCTTTAACAGTGCAAAATATCAAAAATTTGTTATAAGAACTCCATCATGTGCATTAATTTTTTCCACACGGATACCCTTTTCAGCTTAATTCGATAAGTGAGGGGAGGGATACACGCTTGCAGGAGTATTAGTTAGACACAGTTCGAAGGGCAATAAAACAATAAAATTTAAGAAGAAATAGATGTATATTGTTACAAGCTTTAAATTATTTAGGACAAACAAATGTAATCTCATTTTACAGTCTCAAGAAAAAAAAAAGAGAGAAAGAGGGTAATTTCTTTTTTTTATAGTGCTTACAAGATCAGCCGACCTCATACAGAATTAGGGTAGAGTAAAATAACACATAAAATACAAAGTTTTGCTGAAAAACAGTTTGAAATTTATTTAGGAGGCTTTAAGACATTATACAAATGAAATATATTGAAAGTTATAGTATGGAAACTCTAAAGGTCAATTTGGGGTGAAGATGTAGGTTGTATTAAATGGGCCCATTGCAAGAGACTCAATGATAGGTGATGAAAGTATTTTGAAATTATATTTCTTTTGCAGTGTCCATGTAATGTAATCTTTCTTCAGTTTTCCTAATGGTTAGAATTGTGAAATTACCCAGCTTTTATTAAATCCAATGAACACATGAGATGGTATTTCGTAGAAACTAAATCAACATAGTTTAAGATCTAAGTGTATAGTGATTTTCATACTTCAATGCAATCAAGTTTTTCTTTATGTAAGTTTTGCACATAAGAATATATTTTATTCTATTTGTTAAATTTGAATGATTCATAGAGCTTAGTCACCTTACATTTAAGAGTAGTTATGTTGGAGTTTTTGTGTGCAGTACTGTAGTATGCATTTGTGGTTTGGTATCACATTGTGTGATTTGAGATCACAAACATCTAGCATCACACAAATTACTAGGGAAAATTTTTTATATTTCTATAACTATTACGGCACTAGTTAAACTATCACAGGCCCTGTTAATTTAAAGCTACATATATTTCTGATCTTCCTAGCTTGTACGAATATGCAACTGAACTATATCTTGGGATTAACATTTTCATATAGTTATGTTAATTGTTTTCACATTTGTAAAAACTGTTTTTTAACAAAGTTATACTTAAGTGACTGCATGTGGGCACTGTTCTATTCAAGACCTGCAAACAAGTTTTACAAGAACACTTTTGATATATTCATTAGTATAATTTAGAATAATTCACTGAGAACAGCTTTTATGATACCACAAAATTTTGAGGAAGAATAAAACTGAATAATTTATCAATTAGGTACCTGATACAGTAAAGCTAGTACAAAACAACCTACAACTGTTTATCACTACTGTGAATATTATAGAGGTTCACATGTAGAATCATTTGTACTAATTTCACTTCATAATAACATTGTTTGAATACATTTAGTACATCAATGACTCAAGAAGTAACACAGTAAAAAATTTAACTTTTACCATGTTGTGTAAAATGCTTACAATTTCAAACAAAACATTTTTTAATGTTTTTGCTGAATACTGTTACCATGTAAAGTATTTTTTATACTATAATATTTAATTATTCACACTTATTTTTTAAACAAAAAAAATTATTTTCTACAAATATATCAAAAGCCAAAAAATCAATATGAACGAGAGAGAGAGAGAGAGAGAGAGGGAAATCCAGAAATTTCTTTTAATATAGCCTTATACGATTAAGAACTTAAAACTTATATAATATTAAAATTTGGATTATTAGCTACATTTTTATGCAAATTTATTTGCATTCAGTGATAAGAAAATGGATTAATCAAATTTTGAATGTAACTCACTAAAATCTCCAGACGTGCAGAAAAAAGGTGCCTAGTGAAAGTGTTAACCTCACTAATAACTCAAGTTGTTTTACCTAACATAGCACAGCCTATTTAGTGCTGATAAAGGAAAATTAAGGTTCAAGAACATAATGGTTATTAATTGCTAAATATAATATAAAGGTACTTTATTTCCATACATTCAGGAAATGCCATTCCCATACAACTAGAGTATACAAGCAAGCTGATCAGTAAAGACTGCTGCTGAATAACAAGCACACAAACAATTTCATTTACCCAGAAGTCCAAGAAAGACATGTTTACAATAAGAATTTTTGAATATTTAGATATGTCATACCCAAGTGTAAAGATTAATTTGTTATATATATATATATATTAAAGTTTCAACTTTGTAAATATGTTTTTAAGATCCGAAACAGGCTATTATCCATTAGCAGAAAAAGAACTCACAGTAACAAGAATTGCAAATAATCAACTATACTCATTACTTGGTGAATGTATGTAATGGTGTAGTTGAAACTAACAGCTTTGCCACTGTGACTACACTTAAGGGTTCTAGTTTCATAACTGTCAGTCTAAGAATGGCCCTCCATCAGCAGAACTCAGCCTTCCAGTTATCCCCTAAAATTGTGAACTGAATACATGCTAACTAGTATGCCAAGAAGTATGATGCTTATTTCATTTAACATTTTGTATTGTTGTTTTATATATTGAAAAAGAAACCCATTTAAAATGGATAATGCAAAATAGTGAGATTCAGTAACATCATGTGTGTATATATTATATATATATATATATATATAATTTAATTTATATAAAAACTGATGTAAATAAAACCTGTGCAGTGGTTAATATCATGAGAATCAATGTTCAGTAGAAATAGTCCTTAACTAGAAATAGAAAAAAACAAAACAAAGACAACTGAAAATTAGCACCTGAAAATTCTAAAAATAATTTCTTTAGTTTAAACTTTACTTTCAAAATGCTTTTTATTAAAGCATATTAACATTCCGAGGTGGTTATACGTTAGAAAAAGCACAAACATTTTAAAACACATTCAACTCAATTCCCCAATAATCAAATACATTTTTAGAAATAATGATGAAACATACTTGTGAGAGTATTTTGTTCTCACTGTTTGAAGATTTTTGTGAAGAGGAGTCGTTATAAGCTTGTTGAGCCGTAGGACAAGATTTTCCAAATCTGAAGCATTGTAGCCTGAATGATATTCCAAGGTTGGGCTCTATCAGGAAGAACAAGTTTATTACATGCATACACATACAAAATTATATTATTATAACTATATGTTTCCCATGTTGTTTATAATTGGAGAGGTCATGGTATTTTATTTACTAAAAGGATGTTAATATTTGCAGAAAATATATAGTGTATATTGAATTTGTAACACTTCAGTAATGAATGTTGTATACAAATTCCATAGAAGTAAAGTATCTTAGTTAACATAGAAGATAAACAATTAGCATTTTGACAAGTCTTCAAAAACAGAACTTTGAAACATTTATTGTTTACAAATGTCATTAATGCTGTCATAACACACAGTGAAGAAACATTTTCACTTGTAACAAATGATATAATTTAAGCGAGAAAAGCTTACGATTCAAATAAATACATTAAATTTGTGGAGCATATACATTTCCAACAGGAAATGTTAAGAATGTAATGGTTATTAATTACTGGATATAAATGCATTTTATGTCCATACTCTAAAAAAATATCACTCTCACAACACTAGAGTATACAAGCAGGCTGATCAATAAAGACTGTTGCTGAATAGCAAGTGCAGGAAGAGACTTCATTTAAACAGTGTGTGGTTATTGGCTACAGATTTTACAATGAGTGAAGTTCTTTTGTAATAGAGCAAGTCATAAAAATATTTTCTATATAATACTTGTTTGTAACAGAAAGGGCATCTATTCTGTCATAGTTGTATCTAGGAGTGATCCCATCACTACCCTGTATCTGATCGTAAAGGTGACCAGTAAAGACATTTATTAGCTAATCCACTTGAAAACAACAACAAAAAATACTACCCAAATAATTACTAGTGATTTCCAACCAAAGATGCACAATATTCTAATTTTAACTGACAAAAATTCAAACAGCTTCTTAAGTTAGCCCTGAAGGACAACACTGTCTTTAATGGTCAATTTTATAACCAGAGAGGTATGTGTGTGTGGGGTGGTGGTGGTGAAAAAATAGGAACTCTCCTCGGTCAAATTCTTGCCTCTGTTATTATGAATGTCATCGGATGCATAATTGCCACCACTAATACAATATAGTAAAGCATTTTATCGCCACTTGACTTAGTTGTTGAACATACTAAACTATTATCTTGGAAAACTGTGTCAACTGAATCTTTATAAAAAAACAACAACAATTTTTTAAAGAATTTACATTTATGATTCAATGAAAAATAAATAACATAATTTTTACCATATTATTATACTGAAGTCTGTGAAAATCAAAATTCATCACAATTTGTTTGATATTACAAGTTATTGCATTCAATGCCACTTCACAGATCAATACCCATACCAGGTGCTATTGGCTTTTTTGTTTTGATTAGGAGCATTTATTTTAATAATGCAAATAATATAAGATAGAATATTTATAGGCATATATGCTTATTCAACTAAAATCTGCACCATGATGCACATGAGCATCATCTATTATTTACATGTTCTCATGGTTTGGGGATATATTTTGAATGTACAAGAATGGTTATTTATAGTCATATAGTTACTGTGGAGCTTTGAATTCTTTTTTGAATATTGGCTTTTTATTAACTTTATAAAAGCCAACCAGAAATTATATATAAAATATAAAAAAATCTACCACAAACCACAATTTCTATGAGAGGAGAATCTCACATGAATGCTGTCTATTTACTAACAGTAAATAGTTGTACTTTATTTGGTATGAGTTTATAAATGAAACTACATAATGAACAGTATCAACTAACCCACTCTCCTAGGTTTTTCATTTGGATTGCTAAATAAAGTGCTGCTGCTGCAACCATGGAATCTCTCGTATCAATCAGGTCATAGTCCATTAATGAAGTCTCCAGTATGTACCTAGCTAAGGTCAGAACTTCCATAGTAACTTTAGCACACTGTTCAAAGAAAGATCAACCTTTTAAGAGATTTAAAATAAAACCAAAAATAGTTAACAATAAAAACATCTTCACAAGAGAAAATTTTTTTTCTCTAAGTGGAATAAATTTTTTTTGGGGGGATAGTAATATTTTGGGTTTTAAACATTTATTTCAATGTCTATTGATAACACAGGCCTGCAATGGTTTTTTTGTCTTGAAGTTTTTACATGTCCTACAGTAATTCCTGTATGCTGAATCTGAAAATATCCATTTTTCTCCATCATGTACAGATTTTTCACAAAATGTCATATACACTTTTACATAAGTGAATCATTTTCACTGAAATCGGGTCCCATTTTGTTATGCTTCAAATGTTGACAACTACTGGCTATAAATTTTTCCAGACAGACATGATAGTCTTATTGATTTTTCTAGAACCCACAAGAAATACACTGCTAGTATATAAAGGTTAACAGGCTGCATGATGTATCACTAATTTTTTTATTTTCAATATTATTTATTCATCGGTATGACAACAAGAGGTTGTGTAAATGACCCAAACATATTCTGTTATATTTGTGGTAAATTTGTTGTAAAGAAACAAAGGTAATACATTACAGAATTCATCAAAAAAGCATATTATGCATATTTTGGAATAAAACTTGGAGACCAAGTCAAATCATGGGCTCTGCACAAAGTATGCACGGTTTGTGTCGAAGAGTTTAGACAATGGACTAAAGGTAAGAAAAAGTCTTTGCCTTTTGGAATTCCAGTGGTTTAGCATGAGCCTAGAAACCATTGAGATGACTGCTATTTTTGCTCATGTAATGTGCAAGGCTACGATATTCGAAATAAAAAGGAAATTTCTCATCCAAACCTTCAATCTGCTACAAGACCTGTTGCTCATGAACCTGATGTACCTGTACCTACTCCAATGGAAACTCTTGATACAGTTTCATCTTATTCTGAATCTAATGTCAATAGAAATGATTATAGGAATTACTTTCAAGCTGAAACGTCTGGTGAACCACAACTTTTCACACAAGGTGAACTTAACGATTTGGTGAGAGATTTGGGCCTTCCAAAGGATTCTTCAGAGAATTTGGGGTTCAGACTTTGGGCTAAGAACTTACTTTCTCCAGGGACATCATTTTACTGGTACAGAAATCATGAGAAAGAGCTTATACCATACTTTTCGTAAGAAGGTTCACTGGTTTATTGCAACAATATTGCTGAATTAATACCAATGCTAGGAGCTGCAGTCTATGAACCAAGTGGGTGGCAATTGTTCATTGATTCCTTCAAAAGAAGTCTTAAAGGTGTTCTCCTTCACAATGGTAACATATATGCATCTTTCCTGTTGCTCATTCGGTTAACTTGAAGGAAACGTACAAAAATCTTGAACTTCTTAATAAGGTCAAATATAAAGAACTTGGTTGGCTACTTTGTGGAGACTTAAAAGTCCTTTGTATGTTGCTGGGTCAACAATCTGGTTATAGAAAGTTTCCATGTTTTTTGTGTGAATGGGGCAGTATAGAACAAAATCAGCACTGGATAAAGAAGCAATGACCACGCAGAGTCAGCCTGATACCAGGATTGAAAAACATTGAACGTGAAAGTTTGGTCAACACAAAGAAAGTCCTATTGCCTCCACTTTATATAAAACTGGGCTTGATGAAGCAATTTGTAAAGATCTTAGACAAAGATGGTGATTGTTTCAAGTATCTATGTGGGCAATTCCCAGTTCTTTCAAAAGCAAGACTTAAAGAAGGGATTTTTGTTGGGCATCAGATTAGGAAATTTACTTCGAATGCACATTTCGAAAGTACACTGAGGAAAGTTAAAAAAGAAGCATAGATTGCCTTTAAAGATGTTATTGACAAAATTGTAGGATACGACAAGTATCCAATTTATGAAAATATTGTCAATAACTTACTTGATAAATTCAAAGAGCTGGGTTGTAATATGAGCTTCAAAGTTCATTTCTTACACTTACATATTGACTATTTTCTTGAAAATCTTGGTGCCATCAGTGAAGGGGAAAGGTTTATCAAGACATCAGGGAAATGGAGAGGAGGTATCAGGGAAGGCGGAACATAAGCATGATGGCTGATTACTGCTTGGTCACTGAAACGAGATGCTTCAGATGCAGTACATAACATGTAGTTTTGAGACTAAAAGATGTAGATTTCACAAAAAAATCAGGATCAATGAGGATGCATATTCGTTTGACATCAATGTTCTTCCCTTTTCTTCAGTTTGTTTGTATTTGTGTTAACAGACATAATAATAAAAAATGTTCATTATGGTAAATGAAATAATAATTTGTTCTAAGTAAGTTTTTTCTTCCTGATTTGTAACAAATCCTTACGTGATAAAACAAATGAATATTATTTTCGAAATATGCATAGCTGAATTATGGAAAATCCATTATTAAAACCAAAACAATGTTTATGAAATTTAAATTTGCAGGCCTGTGTAATCAACATAGGCAATGTATGATAACAAAAATATTTCTTTTTATATTCATGGCATATTTTACAATATTTTAATTATACTAATCTACTAGACAACAATTATTAAGAGTCAGTCATTATTAACAGCATATGCCTTGCTGCTTGTCTTCTTTATACAGCAGGACTATACTCATCTACAACTAATTAAAGAATAAAGCACAATAAAAACTTGTCAAATATGTTTTACTGATGATACAACACATCTCTTTGACAAGTTGATCTGATAAAGTTACATGTTAAATGTCTAACTTACCTTCATGATTATGATACATAAGGCTCATAGTTAAAACAAACCCATCAATTTGATAAGTAAGACCATTTTTAAGGCTAAGTGCATTCACCAAACAATTTCTAATGTAGTTATTTTACATTTAATAATAATGAAATGGACAATTCCTTGCAGGTTTTTTTGTAACAAATTTTGAACTTATTGAAGCCAAGAGATTATAATTATTAATTGTAAGCTTAAACTGAAGTCACCTTGTTGACCATTGTTGGCAAACTTTATAAACTTTGCCTGTTTTTGAAAGTTTATTTCAAGTATTATATATTTTCATGTTTTGCATCATGTTGATCCAATTATGTTACTAAATTCTTGTCCTGTTACTTAAATTTAAAATTAAGTATGGAATAACTTGATCATCCCTATAAACACAAATTAATTTCACAAATATTAATCCTCATATTATTGATTTGGTTTTATTTTTTTAATACCAGTGGGAATTACATATTGCATCATATTAATTATAATTTTGTTTTGTGCTTGTTCCAACACTATGTATAAAGAACTGACTAAATAAAAAAGTATGATGAAATTACTCATCTTCTGGGTGAAATATACAGTGGGTCCCACCCCAGCAGTAGTTACTGATGCAATATTAATAGTATTTTTGTTCGACTTGTTTGTTATTAGTGACTCTGTAACCTACAAAATAATGGATTCACAAGCAATTTGGTACATAAATAGTTTAGAAAAGTGTGTTTAAAAAGCATATGTGCCTCATTGATAATTCTAGGGTTAAAACAGTAGTTGTGTGAATCTGATATTGATTTAAAAAACTGTTAACACAAATTACACAATTATTTTTACACACTAACTTTACTGACATTCTGTGAAAACAAACAAAAAGCACTTCTTTTTGTTAGACAGTGGGTCTATTAACTGTTGTTTAAATTCATCTTGAAAAGAAAAAGGAAAATTCTGCAAAGCTACTATAACAAAAGTACCTGAATTATTCAACAAAGAAAATGCTTAATTTATGAAAAACAGTAACTAAAACTCAAGTTGCCAAGGTTAACAGAAATTTTTTATTCATAATTTCTGAACAAAGATAAATCTTAAGTACTAAAATAAGTCAAGGTGTTTACAATTTCCTCTAGAAAGACACCAGTTTCATTTCTAAAAGTCCATCCAAAAACATGCATTTTAAAAATTCAAACAAAAAAATAATCTATTTTTATGATACAAAAGTTCCTGTTCTTGGGATATACAAATTTAAATAATACAAAATTCTGCTTGATGTTACTTTATACATGAACAGTGTACAACTTTATTGTGACTACAGCTTGACCTTAAATAGCAAATATACAATTTCCAATTTTAAGCTAATTATTAATGAATTAAAAAAATTAATACTGATGTGGTTTATAACTTAAGCAGAACTTAAAGAAGAAGATATATTTTTTCTACTCACCCGAGCATAACGCCTAAGAAACCTGTAGGAGAGTGACAGACCAAGATCAAAGTTCATAGCCTTGAGAATGCTAATTTCCATTTTAAGAAGTTCTTTACGGCTATAAGCATCATCACAAATGTAAAGAAATTCATCAATCACTGGAGGGATCCGCTCCTGATATTTCCCAAAGATAAATAAATATGAAATATAATAAGATTGTTTTTCATATTTTAATATCATATCCTTCTTAAAAATTGTTAAATACATCATTTTCTTTCAAAACAAGTTTCATGAGCACTTAAACAGAATTTGGTTAAATGTGTGACCAAAGTTATATGTATAGTCAAACACCTCTTTC